AGTTCTTAGTAGTTCGTATTTGCCATTTGCAATGATATTCAAGGGTATCTCATTACAAGTTTATTTCTTAATCCCAATTATTAGGTACCCCTGTTCTGCTTTATAATGTTTTCAGTTTAGTAATTGTACTTATTAGCATTGTTCGATAATAAAGGTGTGATGTAATGTTTACAGTCAAGGCTTTGTGGCGTACAGAATTTTACTCATCTTTTGAATTTTGAGGCTACTTACAGAAAACCAATTATGTGCGAAGCGCCCGAGAGGTGATATTTTCTCTTTTCAAATTACATAACTAGTCTTGTGGGTCATTGGAACCAAAGTACAATTACCTTCACCACAGTAGGATTCACAGCGTTTCCTTAATTAACCCAAATGAGCTCGCCCTACCTTGTAAGAAGTTTAAACAGAAATTCTCAAGAAAAATATCAAGATTAGATTGGAAATTAAAACTGAAATTTCACGTTTTTTTATGCTCTATCAAGCAGGTAGATGTTATAACCAACCAGTCGGCAAGAATATCCTTTCTATGATTCTTAATAAAATTGCACAATTTTTGAAAATAGAACATCCTGAAACATATACAGGCCATTCATTCCGAAGAACATCGGCAACGTTACTGGCTAATACAGGAGTTGATGTATTAGCAATCAAGAGACATGGTGGCCAGAAATCAGCCACAATTGCAGAAAGTTATGTTGCTGGCAGTTTAATTAACAAAAATGAAGTAGCCAACAGGATTCTTTACAATGACACTTCAACTTCAGGTTCTAGTACGTCGCATCATGCTGTTTTAATGGATCAGTCAGATAATATTGAGCCTCCTGTGACTGAAATGGAGCGGTCAAATCATTTTGAGAAAAATGTGACAATTAGTAAACGCGAGGGGAATAATTATCCAGATTTTGTAAATGTTACTTAGTTATTGATGCAAAAAGCGTTTTAACATAAATTACAAATTGGAAGCTTTAAAAGAAGTCTTCATGTTCGTCAGATCGATCTTTAGAGTATAAATTATGGCTCGTTATGCAGACATATATCGTTTTATGGAGTCGTATCTTATGACTACAATCAGCATAAATTAATATTATGTACATAAAGTACGCATAGGTTAAGATTAATGCTCATTATCTTTATGGGTATGAGGAATTTCTGAAACGCTTACAAATATAAGGAAAATTTCCATTGAAGAATTTATTTAAGGTTAACGAAAATATCAATAAGGAAAAGTACAGAAGTTACGCTTTACTGATTATTTTTTTAATCGTAGCTTCTGACACTTTCCTCGACAGCTGCTGACAATCACGCTTTCGATGATTTCCTCAATGTTTAATCTTTATTACATCGTTTATGGTTAATTTTGTAATAAGTGTTATTATTGTTATTTCGTATGTTTTTAAAAAATCCTAGTTTACCGTCTATTAGATAAATATACGTTTTATAAACTTTCTAATGCATATTGCAACTTAAACATATTTCTACAAATTTCAATGTTTTTCTGGGTAATATATTTCATTGCTAATTGTCTGCTGTGCTCTTTTGTTTTACAACTTTATTCACCCTCGTATATCATTATTTTTTTTAACTTGGAGAAAAATAGTCGTAGACTAATAAATTCCCTGATATGTTTTAATAAATTAATTATTCGGGAACTAATGGTACAGGAAATATAAGCAGGGTTTTCGAAACTTCAAAGTATTCTGAATAAGATCGTTTTTTATAAAAAAGAATTTCAATGCAAGAAACTTGGTAAAAAAAAGGTAAAAAATTGCGTTTTTAATAATTTTCGTTAAATTTGAGATAATTTTACAATTAATAAATAGAATAAGGATATTTTCGAGTTTTTTTTAGTATCCCAAAGAGATCCTCAAGAGTTCAAACCGTTGTGAATTTTCTTTCATTGTGATCCGAATAATTGAAATTGTCTCTTTCGCTACAAAACAATTAAAGAATATATGTTGCATATATTTTAAATTTAAATTAAAAATGTTTTTTCGCACATCCATAATTATTTGATCAAAAAAATTTTAAATATCGAAGAAATTTTGAAAGAAAATGTTTCTATGAAAATTGTTTTTGCATTTTTTTCGATATTTAACATTTTTAGATAAAAAATACATGATTATTTGCTAAAAAAAAGAACCAAAATTAACAATTTTAATTATTGGGATCACAAGGACAGAAAAATTAGAGCGGTATCAGTAAGATAAAATAAAGTACATGGATGATTTCATCTTGTTTCATTTCATATCGATTTTAATTTATTCCAAAAAAATATAACAATTTAACTGAACGCCTACATACATAATTATAACAAAATTTTGTTTATTTTGCATGAACTACGAAGTTTATATTCAAAAATATTCGTATATCTTCACGTTTGTTTTGCCAATAAATTATTTAAAAGTTGATACTGTTGCCTTATATAAAAGATTTATCGATATTACGTCGGTGATGATATTTGCATATGTTCACCAAATGGAACTTCCTTACATTGCGGTAGATATACTAAACTGGATCTTAGCCTAGGTCAGGTTTATTGCATTTAAAATCGTCTAAGATGGTGCTATACCGGTTTTCCTACACTACATAGAAATGTCAGTTATAATTTAAATAGACAATTTATCTATCTTACACAATAGCAAACTAATAATGATTTGATATCAAATATTTGTAGCAATTAATGACATGTAAATAGGTACTTTAATTAATTTAAATTTTAAGAACATATCCACAGGCTATTTTTATTAGTTATACATACCTGCAGACTTGTATCTACTTCCTGTAACAGCTTTCTCTCATGTGTACGAAAAGGGTACCACTTATGCCATTTTTTAATTAGTTTTTGTTACAGGAATTGGGCCATTTTATAGAAATAGATTTTAATCCAGAATTGGTTACAATTTAACTGAATAATAAATAGAAAAATGAGTAAGTGAGAAATAAAAAATAATAATAACTAAGTAATAAGAGTTGTGAAAATAAACATTTTTCATAAATCTGATTTTTTGCTTTTTTAAATTGTTCTTTTAAATTTTTTAAATAAGCCATTTCGATAGGAAATTCAATTCTCTACAAATTTTTTCCTATGAACTATGCGAAATTTTGCTTCGTTTTCGAGCTACAATTAAAAACCTGGAAGGGGTGCTTTTTCACCCCTATCTCCAATTTCCACCCTCTAATTTAATAGCACTCCGCGGTTTCTTCATCTAAAATGACCCTTTGAACGAATCATGCAATAAAATTGCTTGAACGTCCTTTTAACCCTGTTTTTTGGATATAATCAATAGCCTATAGAGCCGTCTTTGTAGTTTCATCAAACGTAGAGCAACACAGGATCGGCCTAAGTCTCACGTAATAATTCTTTATTGTTTATTTTCACTTCCCCTATTACGCGTTTGACAAAACACACTGTGTAGTCATTGTATGAAGTATCTAATAGATTTATAATTAAGTGGGTTCATTTAGAAACATAGATGGAAACACTTCACATTATTAAAACTAAATAAAACAGAGAAAAGTAGAGGACAATCAATGAAAAAGAAACAAAAAAAGCTTTTCCAAGATTTACAAACTTGATTGTTCCTAAAGTGCCAATTTTCTAATTATTTACAAAACAACACATATATGAAATGTGTATATGAAAACGTAATTTTATGACTTCAATACGTTATTAAATTTTGCAAAAGTTAACATAAAACTTCAGAAGCAAAATTAAATACAAGTGCTTGTACTTAGTTCCGGTTATTGTTATTACATTTTCTTAATAAATGGATTTATCCACTGTAATTTTAAAGTCGTTACACTGCTCTTTATGTACCCATAAACAGGTGGAAAGTATTTTTTATGATGTAGGTCGGACGCTAAAAAATTAATGAAGCGTCCAGCCGTAAGCGATATTTTCTTAAAAACGCACTTGAGAAACGTTACCAGGCGAAATTAACACATCTTTGTACGTTAAGTATTTTGTATGAATTTATTTGCCGAGTCATTTGGTATATACAATACGTCTAATATTGTTTAGTCCAGTTGGACGCGACTTTTTGTTTCGACAAGCTGAATTTATCACTATAGATGCTAAATATTATGTATAATAACATATTAGTTTCCACAGTCATAAAAATGGGGGGAAGAAGAAAAAAGTTATAAGCGAAAAACGTGAATTTACGTAAAAATTATACAATTAACCACCCTGTAAACAATCTTGTCCCCATTTTTATGACTGTGGAAACTAATATTTTATTGCGCATAATATTTACTAATTCCAATAAATTGAAAAGGCAAGTTCAGAAAAACTTTGCAGAAAAAAAAGATTAATGACGCCACATACACATTTTGTTTATACTCTCATCACTAATGAAATACACTAACACACCGCAAAACAACCGTAAAGCAGTTGAGTAAATTGTGTATTGCGCGGAACACATTTATTTTTGCCTCTGTTTCTTTACATAAGCACCCAATTAGCAACTAAAAAAAAAAACTGAAACCGAGCCCTTCCCGCAAATAACGTGTTATTAAACATCGCTTTGCTATTATTTCAACTCATCGCAGTTACATCAGAATACCACGTAACATTTACTATCAATCACACAAAAGCTACCTACGCTCTACTACATCTAAGGCCTACTTACTGAAAAAAAAAAAAAAACATGCCAGTCATGACACTACAAGAATCTAACCGGTGCCTAATATCGGAAGTGGACTAATGACATTAATCATGTAACAGATTCCACGATAAAAAAAAACATTAGGAAGTAACGCAGTCGTGTTCCCCAAGCCATCGGATTTGAAGTCCATAGAAGAAAGCGCACTCCCAACCAGCCCCCCTTGGTACATCGCTAACCGCTCTCCTACAGCACATTGTGGCCGAATCGGGGGAAAGCAAGACAAAATACGAAATATCGCCCGCTATATAACGTCCGCAGATTGATAGCAGCTTTAGTAAAACATCTGCGTTTCAACGCCATAGTCCACCCCTTTTTTCGGGGATGATATCAATCATGAGGTGTTGGTCACTCTTGGTTAGTGCTTTTTTATACTTCTAGTGTTTGCCAGTGTGTGGAGTTTGTTGACCCTTTGGATTCGCGCATGTACAGGGTGTTGTTAATCGTGTAGACAGATATTAGGTCCAAAATATCTTTCAATCGCGCGTTAATTCTTCAAAATTGTAATTTTTAATTTGATTTTATTTATAAAATATTTCTCAATCATATATTTACGTTTCAAGAAATATTTACAATCGTAAATAAATCTAAACAGATATGAGATGCTATCTTCACAGCATTTTACAGAAAATCATTGCTTATACTTTGTTTTTTTAATGTAGAAACATAAACAGCTTTTAAAAACCAACCACATTAATTTTTCCTTTTGTTACTTAAATCGTTGTTTCTGTTACTGTAAATTCTAACGCAAAAAGATCTGTCAGACACTTTACAAATTGGTTTTGCCTAACCTAAAAAATAAATATATATAAAGTTCAAGGTTACGCTATGAACATTGTAGCAAGGTTAAAACAGGATAAGTTTTCCAAAGGTCACGTGTCACGTTACAATATTTATAGTAAAATCATCTTCAATTGTCTACTTTCTTACTGATCCTTTTGACGCAAGATGTTTCCATTCATTGTGGCATAAATGTATAATCAAATATAAAGAATTACAGACAATAATTTACATGTCGCACTATATTAACTTTATGATAAAACCATTCATGTGTATTTTACATAGTTTTGTATATTACAAGGGAATTAAAACAGCTTTTGCAAGAATGACTAAAAAAGTTTTTTTGCAGGTAATCCTTGGATGCTACTTTGCCGTCGTATCCGAAAGTAGTCCTGTTAGTCTCTCGCGTTCGAAGAGGTCCTATCATGAGCCTGAAGGATACTGGAGCAAGAAGCTCACCTGGAAGACGGATTGGGTCAAGGTCTGGAAGACGGAGAAAAAGCTGATCTGGAAACCAGACTGGAAGAAGATCCAGGTCCCCATCTGGAAGGAAATCCAGGTTCCCATCTGGAAGGAGATCCAAGTTCCAGACTGGAAAATAATAAACAAGCCCATCTGGAAGGAGACCCAAGTCCCCGCCTGGAAGGAAATCCAAGTCCCGGACTGGAAAGAAGTTCAAGTTCCGGCCTGGAAAGAAATCCAAGTTCCAGACTGGAAGGAAATTCAAGTACCGGACTGGAAGGAGATCCAGGTGCCAGCGTGGAAACAGATCTGGAAACCGGTGTGGGTCGAGGTCCAGGTACCAGCTTGGAAGGAGATCCAGGTGCCAGAATGGAAAAAATCGTTCGTACCTGAGTGGGTGAAGGAAGGAATCCACGGAGAGCACTATTTGGGAAAAGATCACCACGGCAACGAATACACTGCGCACGACCTCTGGAAGAAGAAGCTTATCTGGAAACCTGTTTGGAAGAAGGTGTGGCGAACGGAAAAGAAACAGATCTGGGTCCCTCAGAAGAAAATGGAGTGGAAGTCCGAGTGGAAGCAGATCTGGAAAACGGAAAAGAAACAGATTTGGCGAACGGAAAAGAAGCAGATCTGGAGGACAGAAAAGAAACAGATTTGGATCCCCAAGAAGGAGCAAATATGGAGGACGGAGAAGAAACAGATCTGGATTCCTAAGAAGGAACTGATCTGGAAACAGGAAAAAGTACAGATCTGGAGGACGGAGAAAGTACAGAAATGGGTGACAGACAAGAAACTCGTATGGAAGGACGAGTGGAAGCAGATATGGGTACCGGTTTGGAAAACGATAGAAGTGCCCGCATGGAAAAAGATCTCGAAACCTATATGGGAAAAAGTGTGGGTGAAAGTTCACCACCATCACGGGTGGGACAGATAAAGACGCTCGTGTACCTCACCTTCTGTAAATAATTCCTTGACTCTGTACCTAGTACAAACACACTGTTCTTCTTGTTAATTAGTAGACTTTTGTAATTATTGTTATTGTTGTATATTTAAGGATGTAGATTAAAGATTTTGTAATTAAGCGTATTTATTTGAATGCAAAGCGCACTCCCTATCCTGTAATTATGAAAACAAGCGAAGATCTGGAAATGGAATGCCTTGCTTTCACCGAGTTACGCAACACCCGCAACAAGAGATGCAACCGCCGCAGGCCCAGACTAGTTCTCGGTGCGTGTACGTAAGAACAGATAGTACTTTCACTATGTGAGCTACATTTGCGTTTTATAGAAATGGTGGCTTGCCCAAGATCAAGGGTGAATTTTTTGGTACGACCAATTGCAACACCGCTTTCTAACTCCTTTTAAAAAAAATTTATTGGATTGTACAAGGTGCCGTTTATCAGGCTGGTGTTACCACATTAATTCATTAAAAGTCATTCGAATGTTTGTCTATTAACAAGACAAATATAGAAATACCATGGATCGAATTTACATAAAAATAGGTTTGTAAATAGAAAGCTAATGCATTATGCTTTTTTCGCAGCTGTCCTATCGTGTTTATGTCATTAAAAGCAGGTAGGAAGGCTCAATACTTAGTAAGATAATACCAAATGTAAATAAAATTTGGGGAGGTCAATTTTCATTATTTTGTGCAATACCATCTTAACTGGGATATATCCTGTTTGCATAAGGGTGAAATTTTAGACAAAAAAATATATAAAGTAATACTAATATTATTTGAATTTCAGTACAGAAAGCACTATATCTCTGTTGCGATTTACATTAAGCTTCTTCTTGGATAAAAGTAAAAGTAACAAAATTATTCATTATATATAAAATAATTTATTATTTATTTTTCGTGTATTTTAAATATATGGGACACAAATAATGGAAAATTACAAACAAAGAAATGTTTCCTATGAGATTTTAAAAATATTTATGAGTAGGATGACATTGATTGTCGTTACAAAGATACCTACTTTCACTAAAAATTCTTATTAGTCATATCTATTAAATGTTTGAGCCAATATTCATAATTCCATTGAATCGTTTGTATTTATAGTCACAAAATCTTTTTTATAATTATTGAATTTCTATTTTAATCAAACTGAGAAAGTTATACTTTATTATTTCATTTTGCTTTAACAAATAAAACCATAATAAAAAATTGTAATAATATTAATTTTTAAGGTTATATTAATGGAAAAGGTGGAAGTTATTGTTCATCATCCATATTAATTTTGAAATTGAGGAACTGATTGATAAAAAACATGTTTTTCATAAGTTAGGTATTTAAAAAATCTATAATAATTGTAAAGTTTGCCAATTTAAACAAGTTCACAATACAATACAACATTTGAAAGAAAATTTAAAGTAGATTTTAAAAAATATACGGGGCATCCCATTTTAAGAAATTCTTTACAAATAACAGTTATTTTTATACATGGTGTCACATGCAAAACAATTAAAATTGTATCACTTAAAAGAACCACGATTTTGAGATATGGTTTCTGACATTCAATTTTGAAAATTGAACTCGAGACATCTCTTTTCGGAAAAGAAATGTATCGACATTGACCTAATTGAATAAAAAAAATTACACCCAGTTTCATAGAACTAATGTGGTTTTAAATACTCTTGTCAGAAAATGGAAAACTGAATATTTTAATCCGCGACGGATTTTAAATTTTTTACATTTTTAAGCTTGAAAATAAATAATTTTAATGTCGACATTGATTGATCGATATCTAGGAAGGTAATGCTTCGAAAAATTTGAAAATTTGCAACATAGCAATGTCCTTGTGGCGAATACAACTAAAATATCTAGAACTGTCCAGCACTTCTGGTTATACCGGAAGTCAACACCAACTTCGTTATTTTAAATGGGACACCCTATATATTAATGCATTTTCGGATTCTACGTGAAATTTGAGGGCCACTATTAAATATACCCTATACCTAGAAGTTATAGAATTTGAGATATTAATATTTAGAGAAAAAATTTGACAGATGCAAGAGTGAGCGGAGATGTTAGTAACTCTTTTCAGGAGCGTGATATCAAGTGGATTTTTGGTACCTGCAAAGGGCATAAGTAACACTAAATTATGGTGTACCAACAAATTAAAACATTTAATACTAGGTGTTTTATTTTTGCTGTTACATTTTGATAACTTCAAACAGCTACAACTTTGTTAATTTAAATAGAACACCCTGTATTTTTTTACTCTGTCATACGCAGATTAAAATTTCCTTTCAAGCCATATAAGTATTGTTAGTGTTGTCGTTTCTACATTTAGAGATATTTGCAATTTTCTATTTTTTGCACAGTTTTTCTCGTATCAGACCTGTTGTCAAATTGGCCATGACCAGAAACAATTGAAACAATTGAAATAACTTGACATTTGTCAAGTTAGTTGTCAAATTTCATTATGGAAAATTTGACAAAGTAATTTCAAGAACATTTGGAGAATTTGCTGCTTTTTCCATAAATAACAAACAAATTAAAATAATCCTCATTAGTACAATTTAAACGATCCGCGGGCATTTTTATTTAAATTTTCTTCAAAACCTATTTAGACACAACAATAATTTGACAACTAACTTGACAAACGTCAAGTAATTTCAATTGTTTTTGGAGATATCGATCGACGCGTTCCCGGTGGGACACCCTGTATATCAAAGCAATAACTAAAACATTACTTATAAATACTAAAATTTTTGTACAGTAATATGACATCTTCAGGTAAAACCTCTCTTTGTTTAAAAGTTGATTTATTTAAACAAAGGAGGCACCTGAAATCATGTATTGATTTGCAATCCTGCAATAGCGTAAATTATAAGTTTGTTTCTGCTGCTGTCTTAAACCGTTTTCAAACTATCACGATAACAATGTATTACTAATTATTATATAATCAGTTCAAATCAGTCCTTAACTTCTACAGAAACAGGCCTTAATTAGTTCACAAGTAGGCAACACACTCTACAAAATAAACACAGCTTAGTTACTGCCTTATTAAACTTTTAAATAATCTCAAGTATTCTGGTATAACTCCATTTTGTTTATTTATTAATATCGACTTATACTGTTAGAATGTATTCTGCTCTGAAAAAAGTCTTCCATATATTAAAAAATAATAATGTAAAGAAATATTTCATTCAAAAGCAATCAGCATAAAAACAGTAACTAAATCATGTAAGTGGTGCCATCTGGTTAACTGTTGTCTAACTAAAAATCTGCATCTGTTGCATACCTGTAAAGACTTGCAGTTTTTTATAAATAATTTTTAACAGGTTAAAAAAATGTGACCTAGAGTGGGCTAGCGATTTTAAGAAAGAATAGTTCTTCATTACACAAAGACGTAATAATTAAACACCACAACGTTCTGAAGGATATCGATGGTAGATGCTGTCAAGGAACAGCACTTGCTTGTAATTATCTAGTAGTTAGGCTACCTGCAATACAACGCAACTCTGTTCTTTGCCTATATGCGTTTGATGTTGATAATGTTAATATAATTTCGACGTATATGCAAGCCGATAGGTGGCTACAATTCTACTCTACGACGCTTTTTAGTAAGGTAAACATATATTTAAATATTGCTGCATTGTCCATCTACAGACAGAAAATACAAATAAACTCTTTCATTTACTACTTTACTAAAATTGATAGTCTGTTCTTTTTTTTTCTTATATTTGTAGGCATATTTTCTTTACTAAACCATAGCTTAAATCAAATTTTATTTTAAATTTATTTAATGTAGGAACATATTTAAATTTTATAATGAATAATAAGTAAATGTTTTCCTTTGTCAAACTCGTGCTACAAATTATTTTCTTCAAATGGAAAATGTATGTGGAACATTACACTAAAAGCACCGCTTCCAGTGAATGATCGAATATTAATTCCAACATGCCTGAAACTTCATAGTCTTTCATAACTATGTTTAGTAAACCATGACGTATATCACGTAGTGGCAGACGATAGCTGTGCCGGCCATACAAATGTTGTTTGTTTGAAACTGCAAAAACTAATTTGTTTTCGAATGGTGTCATTCACCAAGTCATTGTGAAACTGGTATTTCCTTAATGTACGTCTGGAGAATCGTTTCCTTTTAATAAAATCAGAATCGATATCTGCTGATATGGGTCTAATACCAGACTTACACCACATTGACCTTTGACACTTAAATGAAGTAATGGTTAAAATGAAGCTTTAATGTTCAGAATAAAGATTTTGGTGGAGTAAGGAAAGATAACGCTGCAACTCTGAGGATTCTTTTCCTGATCAGTCTGCAGAAATTCCCAACCAATCAAGAGACATATATTTTATAATTTTTACTTCAAATAGCTCGTTCTCCATAAGGTCTTGGCATTTTCTCTGTTAGTTTCAATAAAAGCATTAGTCGTTACTAGTTATATCAATATTTAAAGACGTTTTGTCACATCGTTCTGCAAATGAAGTAGCTTCAGAATGTAGAAAGAAGTTCTCGGTAACGACAAGGTTGTCTGCAATTACCTAAGGAACCCAATGTTATGCCATTATTACACTCGCTACCTTCTAAGTAACTCCAAGAAAGTTACATGTAGACCATTATGGATGGCCAGAGAAAGTTTTCCGATGATCGTGACTAGCTTACTCAGGAAGACATGTCGCTTCCATATAGAGTTGATACTACACCTGCAACAGTCGTAATTATAAAATGGAAATATGGAAATATTATTCTGTGGTAGCAACAAAAATGCATACTTGTGTACTTTCAAAGCAACGATGATTTAGAGGAAAAAGTTGTGGTAGCAAAGGTCAACCAAATACAAATGAGACATTTTCGCAATGTACAACAACTACATATGAGGGAAAAAACGTTAGATTTTGTTCACTTGAACTATTATGTGATATACAGAGTACCCCAGGATGTTACTCATACAGAAAAACATG